GACGGGTGCAATGTCTAACGTCTTGGTCATGGCTATTAGGCAACACGCTGCTATGCAGCGGACAGGCTTATATTTAAGCAGTTCTATGGTCAGGGCTCGTCGTGCGTACAATTTCATGGCTAAAGACCGGATACACGGCTCCGATGTGAATGCATCTGGATTCGCTGTCTCACCAACATGCTCTAGGAGCATGTACTTGCAAAGCACGCTGATCGCAGTCTCTGTGTACGTGGGGAATAGGCTGCCTTTTAGTGTCACTGTTATCTCTTGCAGTTTTCGCCGTACACCGTCCACTGTAGTACATTGCGCGTCGTCCTCGTCACAGTTGGGGTCCGCGGTAACAGCTTTCACAGGCCAGCGATACGCGAGACACACGTGCTGTAACCCCACGGTCCTGAAAACGCTGTGCATGTGACACGAAAGCATTAAACATGCCGCACGTGTAGATCTAATCTCGTGCAACAGGTCCTGGAGCTCGATGCCGTTTTGCAGTGACGTTACCACATGTCTGTCCAACAGATCGAGCGTGGCCGAAACCACTGTGTGCACATCCACAGATGTGCAGAGCGGTATGATGTATGCAAACCACGACACCGCAGCCAGTCTGTAATTGTTGTACCTCTCCAGGTTTATGCCATGTAGGCCTTGGGTGTAAACAAAAGCCGCTGGTGCGTGGACACGATGTAGACGAACCTGACTCACGACGGCCTTCTTCAGATCTTCCTTGGTCATCGACTGTAAGCCGAATTCCATGTCTGGCGTTGGAATGACAAGTTGCTCATCGTCGTCCTTGTCCGTAGCTGCTTGTTTTACAGGGGCACCGGAATCAAGTTTCCTCTTTCTTGGCAGCAGTTTCGTAGACTGCTCTGGAGGCCCTGTGGTGAGATCCATTGTAACAAAGAGTAACAGCATAGGTCAATAGTAACATCAGAACATGCACCACATCGATGTGCGCTACCGCCGCTGAATACGAAACGGTCGCTGCAGGTCGTCGGCTCCGAACCCGCAGGTCGGCGGCTCCGACCCGCGGGTCGGCGGCTCCGAACCCGCGGGTCGGCGGCTTGACACAAGCTAAAATCTAATACACACAACCTTTGTTGATCATACGGCTTGGAACAAATCATTGACCACCGTATACCATGGCATATTCCGCTCTTGTGGTTATGGTCGCATGTGGAGTTTTAGTTGTCTACACGACTGCAAATGACCATCAGTGTCCATTTCTCCAAATGTGCCCGGAACTGCCATTGGGCTTAAGATGCACAAATGACTTTGACAGCACAATGACCTGCACCATCCCACAAGACCGGGTCTTTCGAACGCCGCGGTCTGAGGCCGGACAAGAGACGGTGATCAATCCCGAGGAAGCATTCGTCAAGGCTACATACGGCAGACATAACAGCAAGTGTCTCTTGAAGAGAAGCGGTTCCGGATTGTCCTGCAGTATGCAATTCAATGGCAACCGCATCTTCGACCAACACCAGAGATGGACAATAGAACTTGTGTACAAAAGTGGTATCGTTCAAATGCGATACGGGGCCTACAATCCGATCTGCTTCATGAAGGTAGACCCACCCTCAGCGCTTTCAGCGTCAGGCTCTACCATTACCATAGACCGATGGAGTCACAGGTCAATGTCCAGCATGTACGTGGACGTAGAGTGGCGGAAAGAAAACGCTCTATCTTTCAGAGAGATTCGAAGGTGTGTCAGGAACAAGAGCTGTCAACTAAAGGTTCCTGCCTCGTACGAAGATGGAACCGTGACCGCGAGAGCTAGATGGACACCCGGGATCCCAATGGCAGTTCAGAACTACTGGAGCGACTGGAGTGACACCATCACCTGGTCTCTAGGCTGAAAGTGGCAATGGTTGTCTTTTATTTGAATAATGCAATCAAAGTATTGTGTACATATGAATAACAATAAAGTCTTCAATGTCACAATGAACCCAGTGTCGTTTGTATTTCTTTTGTCATATCAGGGTTTCGGTGGACTTGACGTTATTGTTACATTACACACAGACGCAATAAAAAGGCAGTACCACTGCCAATAAGTGTCCAGCAGGCTCCCACCCAGCGCACATTATATTGTCGACCTGTGGGGACGGCGGGCAGTAACGTGCTGTGTTGCCTTGTGTTTGTTGATCATACATAGGGACGGCATAAGGGTTTCAGCATTACTCTCTACAACGATGAGATACCTAAACCGTTTTAGATTCACTACACCTATATACTCAGAGAGCTTCACAAAGAACTTATTGGAACGCCTCAGGAACAAGGCGTTTGCTTTGTATTCCACGGTGATCAGATATACGGGTGACCAAACGCTTAGTGGTTTTGTTTATTTAAGAAGGCAAGGTACTATCAACAATGTGGACACGTACTTAAATAGCATAGCATCAAACTGCCGAGTAGAGGTAACACCAATTCCTCTGTGTGAGTCCGCCGACGCCTTGCTCCGGGAGTACTACTCGCTTGTGCAACACGGCCGTGGTGTGCTCGAACAGCAACACGGAGAGGAATTCGATATCAGAGTGGTGAAACGGTATACGTTTGCCGCAACAGGCTACACTTCCACGGATCTATCGTGTCTGGTGGCCGACTTGGAGACATCCAACTATGTATCGTACATAGTATTATTACAGGAAGATACCGTGCGTGGGTTCATACATGCAAAAGATGCCAAGTGCT